CGTTGCAGAAGGAGGCCGAGGACGACGCGCCGGGCTCCAGAAAGGCGAAGGAGCTGTCGGTGATCGACGGCCGGCGAGCGCAAAACTGCAACATCCTCCTCTCCAGGTTAGCGTCTTGGCGGCGGTCGCCGCAGCGTTCGCGGCTCGATGCTCACAAATGACGGGCGGCGGGCGCGTGCGCTGCCGCAGGCTGAAGCTGTCCAACGAGGAGATGAAGAGGGCCATCCTCGGCATGGACGAGCAGGAGGACCTTCCCAAAGACATGCTGGAGCAGGTGCCGCCGCCGCCGCCGCCGTCGCGTCGGCTTTGGTTCCCGCCGAGCGGAGGCTGAACCCGAACCCTTTTGGGGGCTTTTCAGTTGCTGAAATTTGTCCCGGAGAAGAGCGACGTGGACCTCCTGGAGGAGCACCGGCACGAGCTGGAGCGCATGGCCAAACCCGACCGCTTCCTCTACGAGATGAGCAGGTGAGCGCGCCCGAGCTCCACCTTTGGGACAGAAAAGAAAAAAAAGTTCAACCTTGTTGATTTGAATCATCATCGCTGCGATTGATTTAGTCCACGGCGTCGTTCGATGTCGACGAATGTGATTCGGTGAAGCCGAAGAAGAAAGTCGCACTCTTTTGCCTCGTTTTTGTCATTTGATGACGCTCGGAGCCTGTTGTCGTCCCGCCCCGCCCAGAATAAACCACTACCAGCAGAGGCTGCAGTCTTTGTACTTCAAGAAGAAGTTTGCCGAGAGGATCGCCGAGATCAAGCCCAAAGTGGCAGGTGAGCCGCCGCCGCCGCCAGCGCGCCGACGCCTCTGAAAAGCCGACGCGCTAACGCTGCGCCTGCAGCTCTCGCCGAGGCGTCCAAAGAGGTCCTGCGCAGCCGCAACCTGAGGCAGCTCCTGGAGGTGGTGCTGGCCTTCGGCAACTACATGAACAAGGGCCAGCGGGGCAACGCTTACGGCTTCAAGGTGTCCTCGCTCAACAAGATCGCCGACACCAAGTCCAGCATCGACAAGTAAGGCCGCCGCCGCGTCGCCCTTTCATCCCGTGCGACATCGCAAAATCCCGAGTGGCGCCCACTTGGCTCGGGGGGGCTTCCGAGGCCGTTTGCCCTCGATTGCGCAACGGCTTCAAAATGACTTCAAGCAAAGTGGTGTTCAGTTTTTAGTCTCGGGTCTCCGTGGATTGATTGCGGGCCGAAAAGGGGGGGGGTGCTTGAAGCGGTCCGCATTGTCGTGAAGTTCGATAAAAAACTCAGGCCGGTCAGGTTGGCGGGGTACTTTGAAAGCGGCCCGGGAGCGTCCACTGGCCCCCCGAGCTTTTTTCCGACCTCGGCTCAAGTCGCTTGAAATCCTCCGTCGGGCGTCCTTCTCGACAGACGGGGCGAGGACATTTTGGGCTGGGGGCCCGGAAGTGACTGACTTCCCCTCTCGCCAGGAACGTCAATCTTCTGCACTACCTGATCACCATCCTGGAGAAGAAATACCCCCAAGTGCTCAAGTTTCACGGCGACCTGCCCAGCGTGCCCGAGGCGGCCAAAGTCAAGTAAGGTGGAGCTTCGCGAAAGCCGCATTTGACCCAGCGGGGAAACGCCGCTCACGTTTCCCGCTCGCGAGTTGTCGCGCGCGCGCCTTCATGGCTTGGACGTACTTGCTTCCAGCATGACCGAGCTGGAGAAAGACGTCGGCAACCTGCGCGGCGGCTTGAAAAGCGTGGAGAGTGTACGTCGCCGACGCAAGTTTGCCGCCCCCGCCTCGCCCCCGCGGCTCACGACTCGCTCTTCCTTTTCTTGTTGCTCGGCTGTCCAGGAGCTGGCCTACCAGAAGACGCGAGCGCAGGAGCCGGGCGACAAGTTTGTGTCGGCGGTGAGCCAGTTCATCACCGTGGCCGGCTTCGGCTTCTCCGACGTGGAGGACTCGCTGACGGAAGCCAAAGACTTGGTGAGACCAGGC